AACTTAAACTCAGATACAATAGACCTTTCACTTTCAAGAAGATAAACCAGAATGACCAAAATACCCCTGACTCGAGCATTCTAACAATTTGAAATTTCTTAATTTGCTCCTATGATGTCTTGTATAGTATGTGTATGAAAAAATTGAAATAGGCTTTATTTTTGGGAAGAGTTTTTTTTTTAAAAAAGTAACAAGAAATTTTATTAATATGTAAAAGAACCATACATCCCGGAGAATAATGTAGGATAAAGGACCTGTACAAACAGCTTGGTGCTGACAAGAGGATTGTATGCATTTAAAGATGATTTGGTACAAGTCCCTGTCAAGACTAGGCAAACCTCAGTCCATTAAAACTTTGTTTTCTCCCTGTCTAGAAGATTTGCTAGGTTGTTTGCAGATCGGGGAGTCCATTTGCGCGAGTTGTTCATTGTCGATACCAGTTGCTTGATTTCTCTTATCAAATGCCTTAGATTCCAAGGGCATTGATATTCTGATGCAAGCCATCCAATCACAACTTGGCAGTCACCTTCAATGGATAAATCAGTCCAGCCAACTTCTCTACTCAGCCTGAGAGTCTGAGACCATGGAGAAGTGCTAATGTTTCAGCTTTCAAAGAGTTCTCTTCTCCATTTAGGCATCCTTTTTCGCTAGTGCTTGCTGGGGAAGCATTTATGAAGGCATCAGGCATTAATAGGAGAATGATGCTCTTTGGCGAAGGGTGGTGGTACATGGTGTGATTTCACAGGGTGGCTCGTTTTGGCTGGGTAAGGGGTGTAGTTCACTTATGCAGTGTCTTTAGAAGGGAACCATGAAGTTCCATTTAGATTTTCTATTATCATGCTTTGTGGTGGTGTGGTGCATAATATGGAGAAGGTGAACTAACCTTTGGGAGAATACAGTTCAAGTTTGAGAAAGCAGTTCAAATCTGAGAGCAGCCACTTCATGCAAAAAAAAAGTCAAAGATTAGGTCTGTATCCAGATAGATGGGACCACCATTGGCTGATGGCCTTTTTACTGATGTAGAATTGGGCAACTGTATGTTTGTTCTCAAAGTTATTTTGATTAAAATAAGAAAATTTGTTGGCCTTTGCTTTGAAGTTGAGAGGAGGTTATTTTGTCCCCAAATGCCCTTTGCTAAACGAAGTAATAAAAGAGTGGAGTTGTCCTCAGGTGACTGGAGAAGTTTTTGTATCTTTATCTAGATTGGATGCCCAATACATCTCAGTTCGCCATCACTATCCCTTGCCAAAGAATCTTATGGTTTTAGTAGTTGATCTTCTGATTCACTGGAATGAGATATTCACACTGGATGGTAAAGATCTAACATCTGTATTTGCATGTTCAAGATGTCAAGTTCCTTCTCTCCTTGCTAAAGAATCTTACATTACTAGTAGATCTTTATCTAGATTGGATGCCCAATACATCTCACTTCAGTAACACTATCCCTTGCTAAAGAATCTTATGGTTTTAGTAGTAGATCTTATGATCCACTGGAATGAGATATTCACACTGGATGACAAAGATCTAACATCTGTATTTGCTTGTTCAAGATGCTAAGTTCCTTCTATCCTGTCCCTCATTCAGCCAATCACCATCTACTCTTATATAATCGTAGGGAAAACAGCTCTTTTAGAAGGGAGTGTGTCTATGCGCAAATAGAATCACCTTGTCCTATGGGGCCTGAATCACTTATAGTAGCTCCCCCTCTGAGTTCTGAAGATTCCATCTGCTCCTCAGGGGCCCTGATTTCTGAGTAAGCATAAATATTCAGCTTCATTACCCCTTGAGATGGGGAGACCAGAACTGATGAGGATAATCTCTAGATGGTGAAGAAGCTGTGGTAAATGATCTGCCTCTAATGACTACAAAAGTGGTAGTTACATCCACTAAAGAAAAAGAAGAAAAAAGGAAAAACTCATTTCAAATGATGTAGGATCCATGAAGTGAGTTATTATTTAGAAATAAAGCTTCATTTAATCTCTTAAATTAAATAAAAAATCTATTACATAAAAAGTCAAATGAAATAATAACCTAAATTTACAGCATAAAAAATGGGTGTCAAACAAAATTTATAAGAATACAGAAATAAAAAAATATCAGAATACTGGCCCCGTACTTAGTTTGGAGGGTCATTCTATAGTTTTATTTTATTTTATTACTTTTTCCAAATGATTCTTCCTATTAACAATTGAAAGTTGTTTCTCAAATAGCTTCCATTAGATTGAAAGTAACAAATATTTAGATGAGGGGTGTTGTTTGTCCCCATGGTGTTCTGAATCTTGAAGTTCAAATTTATGTCCTCATGTGTGTAAGTTGAACTTGATTTTGATATTGCATTTAACATGCATTTCTAATCAAATTTTGTGTTCTGAAATCTAAAGGCACCGCCTACTTTGTGTCATGAGAACTTTTCTAACCACTAGTTTGCTTGTTGATGGCAGGAAGCTGTGCGCCAAACTGTTAGTGTTATCTTTGAAGATCCAGGAGTGCAGGATTTACTGGCTAAGCTTTACCAGAAAGGTATATTCATTATACCAAGCAATGCTGCAGGTTCTTTTTGCTTTACAGAGTGGTTTTAGTTAAATAATTTTCCCCTCTTCTTTGGCCAACTTAAAAATGTTGAGGCAAACAAGCTTTGCACATTTGGTGAGGAGTTCTACCTACACCCAAACAAGGAGCAAACTATTCCCATATGGAATTTACAAGAGGGTAGGAGATTAACAAGTGCTAGCAAGATTCTCCATTAGCCTTATAGGGAACACACCAATGTGGGGACTGGGGATAAGCACCAATTGGGTCTTTTTCTTTGGAGCAAATCGCAAGTATTTATTCTTTTTGGGAACACATCGCAACAGGGAAACCTCCAATTCTAGGAGAGATAGGTTACTCCAAACCCCCTTCATAGGAAAGATTGCTCCAAGCTATTAGAGGGTTGAGTTAAGACCTTGAAGAAGGAAGCACAAGAGAAGGTTTGGATGGATCCAAGAGAACCCCTTCAAGGATATGAAGCAAAGCCAAGACACTATTTAATTCCGAATCCCTTAGATCCCTTCTAAGCTCAAATTCCAATCAAAACCAATTATTGAACTAGACGAAACAAGGAAAGTGGAAATAGTCTCATCTTTGTATCTTGAGAGGGCAAACAAAGAAGGGAATTGATATTGATCTTTCAAAGCAAGATCCCCAACCTAGACATGTTCCCAAAATCTTATCAAATTATCAAAGCATGGATCATACCTGATACATAGCAAGAAAGAAGGTAGAACAGCATGGATGGCCTTTCAAGGAGAAGCTCTTATGGCCTTAATTAGTACTAGAGTATCCCAACCATCCATTGCAATCCCATGAATGCTTACAATTATCTTTGCCCATAATTTGCCCTGCTTATCAGGTAGTCTCTAAAGCCATTTGCCTAATAAAGCCACATTTCTCTTTTGCAAATTTCCTAACCTTAGATCCCCCTATTCTTTGCTTCAACTAACTACCTCCCATCTAACTCTATGATCCCTTTTCTCCCCATCTGGATCCCATAAGAAATCCGGCATCATCTTTTCCAGTTTCTTTCCCACCCCCTCTGGCATCTTAAAGACATACATATAATACACAGACGGGTTAGTTAGGATGGACCTAATCAAAGTAATCCTGCCTCCCAAGGAAAGGTAACTTTTCTTCCACGAGGCAAGTCTTTTAGCAAACCTTTCTACAATAGGGTCCCAAAATATACTCCTCTTTGGATTGTCTCCCAAAGGTAAACCCAAATATTTTAAAGGCCATTGAGACACCACAGACCCTAAAATGCTTGCACTTTCTGCCAACTCCCTTTCCTCCAAGTTAATTCCCACTAAACAACTCTTATCAAAAATCACTTTCAGATTTGACATTTGCTCAAAGAGTTCTATTGCTAATTTCAAACTCCTAACCTACCTTCTATCTCCTCCTTCCCTGAATAAGATTGTGTCATCAACAAATGTCACTAACTCACCATTTCAAATGAATAATGTATGATTAGATTGAAAGTGAGTGAACCTAAGTTTCCATAGTTCACCTCTTAAATGATCAAATCAAGCTTAGGGTGATAATTTTCTCCATACAAGGACTTCTTGAGCCAACATACCTAACCCTTTTCAATTTTGCAATAAAAACCAAGGGGAAATACTGTATATACTTCATGCAAATCATTATTCAAGAATGCATTTTTCACATCAAACTGATAATAAATAGAAATAGTGAACAACGATGGACTATAGTACCTTGACTGAAGTCATCTTAGCAATTGTGGAGAATGTGTTTTTCATCATCTAGACCATTAGTTTGATTATGACCTTTTGTAAATAACCTTACATCTTTTATCAACCTTGTATTTCATTGAAAAAAAAAAACTATTTTACAACCTACTAATGCCTTCCTTCTAGGTAAGTTAACAATGTCTAACATCTTATTCTTTGAAAGGGCATCCATCTCTACTAGCATTGTTTCTTTTTACTCATGTTTGGCCATGGCCTCTGCCATACTCCTAGGAATATATTCAAGTGAAATGGAAAGAAAAAACCAATATGCAAGAGATAAATGATCATATGAATGAAACTTTGAGATACCGTGTGAAGTAGAGATGCTTACCCTTATGTGGAACAATAGGAATGTCAAGACCTGACATAAGAGGCTGAGACATTCTTCTTCAAAGTCAAATAGAAGTGGCTGAAGTGAGGCAGCAAGTGCACTCTTCCTTCTTTGAAGAACCTAGCATTCATTTTCCCGACTACTGCCAACATCAAGAGGAGAAGGAAAAGGAATTGAAACTAGAATTGATTCAGGAACATGAAGTGACATAGCATCAACAATTAAAGAGGCACAAGAAAAACAAGAAAACTCTCTTCACTTCTTTTCTCCCCTAAAAGAAACACAAAATTAAAAGGAAGTATTCTCAAAGAAACTAACATCCATAGAACAAATCCCATCTCTAAAACAGGGTGAAGCAAACAATCCTTTTTTTTTATGCATATCCAAGAAAAAAAATACTTAAGTACATCTTGATCAAATGTAGACCTTTTATGGACCATGAACTTGGGAAAAACATGTACAACTAAAAACTCTTAAAGGAACAAGTATCAATAGGATGCAAAAATTAAATAGAGTTTTAAATTCCAAAACTTGAGATGGTGCCTTGTTGATAAGTACCTGCATTGATTGCATCACTGAAAAGGAACATGGATATTAAATATAATGTCCCTGGACACCTTAAGGATATGAAGATTTTTTCTTTCTGCCACCCATTTTTCTATGGAGTATAAGCATTAGAACTCTAGCAAATAATGCTGTAGTCTAAAAGATAAGAAGCAAGGTGCTTGTCAAAATGCCCTTTAGCATTAGTAAATAAAATACTTTGGTTAATACACTAAACTATGTTAAAAAAATTTCATGAAGTCAATATTACCAAATTAAGAACATTATCCTAAGAATACATCAAATGTACAAAGGAGAAATAAAATAAAATCATCAACAAATAGCAACGAGTATTGTGTCAACCCATAAAAGAAATATGATATGGTTCACACACATTGGTATGCACAATATCAAATGAAAAATTACATGTTTTCTTAATTGGGCAATGAGAATATTCGCAATGCTTAGCCAATTAACAATTTGCTTACTATAGACTTGACACTGCAACAAACTCAAACAGATTAGGCCATTAGGGTACAAAGATTTAATAACAAGAATACACACAATAGTTAGTGCCCTGACCAGGAATCTCCCATATAAGTTGTTCCTTAGTCACATGTCTTAGCCAAAGCATCAGCTATTGAGTTTGTGAGTTGAAATGTCCATCTGAAGTTCTGAACAAGCAGCTCAGATTGGATGCCACTGTAATGGTTTCTGTGATGAACTCTAAAAGAATGTTAGGAAAAGATTAAGCAAAGAAGGGAACTGGTTAGAAAGTGATTCAGACTTCAGATAAGTTAGAGTTTAAACAGTTTAGCCCATATAGGACTTGAACTTCCAAGGCTACTGCCTTCTTGTTATTAAGACAATACTCTAACCAATTGAGCTAACAAGATTTTATTTCTCTGTGAACTTAGTTTTGCATATTGTTATATATTTATGTTTTCTTTTACTTTTTTTTTCATAATTGGCGCTTCACTTCATCTAGGCTTGTGCCTAGCACCTTGCACCTCAGGCTCGAAGAACCTGTTGCATGTAAATTGTGCTTGTCACCTTTAAAACATTGATATCAAATAAATTATGTTTTCCCAAATCGTTATCTTTTCTAGAAATGTTTTATTGACTTCTCAGTGTGTCTTTCTCTTCTATAAATTTCAGAATGGTTGGAAGCAATGGTGACTGAATATCTTGTTGCTACATTTGGTGATTACTTTACGGATGTGAAGATGTAAGTTTTCCTCTTTTAGTATGCAGTGCTAATCCCACAAAGAGATGGCTTCTGCTAAAGGAATCTATATTAAGTCTAAATATGTTAATTTATTCCTTCAGTTTATGTTTGCATCCATTTTGACACAACATGAGACATCGATCTGTGTTTTTGTTGATAGAATTGATATTACCTTCATAGTTGAAATGTTGAGAGTTTTCTATCATCTCAATACTAGTATTTGTCAAGGTGGAATGCGAAATTACAATAGACTTTGCTTGTTGATTTCATTTCAAAGAATTTACTTTTGCCTTCTTATTATCATATTAGCATAATATTCACGTGTCTCAATATAAGTCATTGAAGTGTAGGAAGTTAGTTTCAAATGATGGAAGCTGTGCAAGTTATTGACATAAAAGAAGTGGGTTGTCTAGAGTAGAGATTCAAACTACTGGATAGTTGTTTGGTGGGAAGGTTTATAAATGCAGATCCAGAGGAGTTGTTTGTTTCCAAATGGATGTCGCAGGAATGGGTTTTAGGATATAAAGTTGCTGTTAGAGAGTTAGGTGGGGATTTGTTTCTTTTTTGCCTGAGAACAAAGAGAGACACTAGTAATGTTCTCAGATGGGAAATACTGCAACAAGATTACTTTAATTTCATTTAAATTGCTGGTTTCCATTAGCTGGTTGCATCAGGAATAATAGGTACCCAAACCTAGTTTAGATTGTTGTAGGTGCAATACTTATCCATGCATGGCACATCCAAACATTTAGATTGACCTGAGATGCAGTGAACAAATTTATTACTGTCAGTAAGAAGAATACTTGGAAATGCATTGGGTAGGCAATGACACCCATGGAATGTCAAGAAGGGGCAAATGGCATTAACAGGAAAAAGTCAAAGGTGTGGGTAGGGCCAAATGAAATCCCTTAAAAGAAAGATGCACAAGAATATGAACCCAAGGAGATAAGAGTCCAAAACCTGGATTCATGTTGGTGTGATCAATGAACACCCCCTCTAGAAAATCAATCAGAGCCAAAGCCTTTGATGATTCATCCTCCTCAAGACAACACCTAGAAGATGGACTAGCAAAGCAGGGGGCAGCAAGAGAGATGTTTTGGGGTCTCCTACCTCAATGGGGACATTATAATTGAGAATTCTAAAAGGTGGCTAGCTGAGGCTAATTACCTTTCTTACTTGTAATTACACTTAGTTTTCTCATTAATCAATAAAATTTTTAATAGTAACCGATCAATAAAATTTAAAACTGGAATGTCATAAATCTCACCTGGAGAAACAAAGAAGGGAGAAATAATGTGTTATATAATGCTTCTTCCAGTTGAAACTAAGATTTACTCATCCTTTTGAATTTAAATACCATGGCTAATTTCTAACATTTGCTGTTTTCATTAGGTACATTGAAGAAAGATCATTCAGGAGGTTTGTTGAAGCCTGTTTGGAGGAAACTGTGGTTGTCTATGTTGATCATCTCCTTACACAGGTTTTCATTGAAAATATGCTTTACAATGTCTCTTTTGAGAAAGATATTCATTGTGGATTTTTCTTGCATTCTTTTTTGTGTTACTTGGCTCCTCAATGGCATTTCTTTTGGCAGAGGAACTACATCAAGGAAGAAACTATTGAACGTATGAGGCTAGATGAGGAGCTTATTACGGATTTCTTTAGGGATTTTATAAATGTATCTGTAAGTAACAGCCATTTGTTTTAGAAAAATGAGGTGATCCTGTTATGTCTTTAAAGGATCATCCTTTCCATTATCTTTGGGCTAATGAGTGAGATGTTTAAAGAAACTGGAAAGAAGTGGATTTCCTTTATCATATGACATTATCCAAAGCCTTCTTTTTCTTTTCCATTTTTTACCAGATGTCCCAATCAATGTTGTTAACTAGTCTCCCTCCACTATTGCAGTATGTGCTTTAAGATTCTTGCACATTTAAGCATTGAAGTAACACTAATGCTATGAACTCATTTTCAGTCACTTCTACCAATCAAATCAAAATTACATCATCCAACAAAATGGGGTGACTAAATGGAAGAACCACCATTTACTCAAGTCTACTTGGTCCCTTTTGCATAATATGAATGTTCCCAAATGGTTTTGGAGTGATGTTGTACTTACATCCTATTTTCATTAATTGGGTGCCCATGTCTATCCTTGAAGGTCATTCTCCTTTCTTAGTTTTGTTTTCCACTCTGTCTCATTTTCCTCTTACTCCCAGAATTTTTTATTGTGTGTTTTGTTAATAATCTAGGACCTGGGATGGACAAGTTGGATGCACATTCTACAAAGTGTATCTTTCTTGGCTATTCTAGCACCCAAAAAGGGTATAAATGCTATAATCGTAGTTTTCAACCTTCATTTGTTTGTCCAAATGTCACTTTCTTTGAATCTATTTCTTTCTTCACTGGTCTTGATGCTCCTCCTTCACCCCCCATGCTTTCTCTTTCAGTTCTGATTGATGACCCCATTCCTATAGTTCTAGTTGTGTTCAAAGTTTCACCTCCTCCAATGCAAGTTATTATTAAATGACCACTAGTGAAGCAAGTATATACTTATCGACAAACACCGAGTAAAAGACTTTGGTACGAGGCAATGTCAAGTTGATCTCTCAGTATTCAACTAAGATTCTAAAGCTAGGAAGATTTTGTTGGTGGTATATGTAGATGACATTGTTATAACTAGCAGTGATAGGTTGGGGATTTACAGATTTAAGGCCTTCCTACATGATCACTTCCAATCAAAAGATCTTGGCAAAAGAACAACATCAATTTATTTTATTTTTTTTTGGGAATAGAAGTTGCAAGGTCAAAGAACAACATCAATTTGTGCCAAATGAACTATATGCTTGACTTGTTAAAGGAGACAGGATTGTTGGGTGCCAAATTAGCTGAATCAAATTAAGTACTAATGTGGGTAAAGAATTTGATGATCCTAGAAGGTAAAGAAGAGTAGGTAAGCTGAACTATTTGACTATCACCCAGCCAGATATCTCTTTTGTAGTTAGTGCTGTTAGCTAGTTTATACAGAACCCTTGGGTTCCTCATTATAATGCAGTCCTAAGAATTGTGCGGTATTCGAAGGGAACTCTAGGCTGTGGGTTCTTGTACAAGCTTGGAGGAAGTCTTATAATAGAAGGTTATATAGATGCAAATTGGGCTAGTTCAATATCTGACAGAAGATCCACTATAGGGTATTGTACCTTTCTTAGAGGGAATTTAGTGACATGGAAGAGCAAGAAATAGATAATGGTAGCTAGAAGTAGTGTTGAAGCTAAATATAGAGCCATGTCACATACTGCTTGTGAGCTAGTGTGGTTGAAGAACCTCCTATAGTAGATCAGGTACTCAGTTAACTGTTTCATGAAGTTGTACTATGACAACCAAGCTGCAGTTCACATCTCAGCTAATCCAGTCTTCCATGAGAGAACAAAGCACATAGAGGTTGATTGTCACTTTATAAGAGAGAAACTGCGTAATGGAGTGATAAGTACAGAATATGTAAACTCAGGGAGTCAGTGGATAGATTTGTAACATTTGTTTACAAAAGGGTTGCGTCTGGGAAGAGTGGATATGTAACAAGTTGGGACTTTATGACATATACTCACCAGCTTGAGGGGGAGTGTTAGAGTTGGCAGTCAAGGGTATGCTAGTCTTTGTAGCTTGTTTTATTAAAAAGGTGTTTAATCTATTTTGTTTCAGTTTAAGTAGTGTCTCATACTTAATTAGGCGCATAAGTGTCTTTGTATATTGTTCACGAACCTATAAATAAGATTTGGTCAGCTGAGAGGTAGAGTGAATTCTCTCTAGCTTATACTGAATTCTCTCTCTCTCTCTCTGAAACCAGTGTTAACCGAACTGTTAACATTAGCCAATGTTGGTACCAGCTATCTGGGGCCTTGGGATTGCTGCTTTCCTATTCAAACTTGTGTTCTCATTCTTGTCAGCCTGACATTTATCATTACACCAAGCAATGGCTCCCTGGAATTCCAATTTCTCATATCCATACTGCCATTCCCTTAGGCCGTGTTTGGTTTGAAGAAAAATGTAGGGAAAGGAAGGGAAAGGTAGGGAAATCTATACGAACTTTGTACAGGTTTCCCTGCCTTTCCCTACATTTTCCTTCAAACCAAACATAGCCTAAACTTTGTGTGGAAGAGTCAAATGTACATTTCTCACCCTACTTTCTGAATGGTACCTGGTGGAATGCAAATACCATACCGTAACCCCATAACTAAAATTTCTTAGAACATCTTTTAACTTAACATTTTTGCCCTTGGAAATCACCTAGTGATCAAGGGAATTCTTTCCGCTGATGTGCATTTTCTGTTTGTATAATTTCTTTATCTATGGTTAGAATGTTTATTTATCTATCCTTTTGGATCAGATGCCTCCTCTTTCTGAATATTATTATTTTTGATACAGAAAGTTGAAAATAGAATCCAAATCCTGAGTGACCTAAGAGAGCTTGCTTCAGCTGAAAGCCTGGATAGCTTCACACTCATTTACACAAATATTCTCGAGCATCATCCTGACTGCCCTGTAAGTAGTAATGACTAGTACAACTTGTATCTGTTTTGGAAATTGCCCGTCATACTTCTTGGTATTCAACAAAGATGCAGCTTGTAACACTGTTGCACTAAGAAAACTGGCTTAGAAGGCTACAAACAGATCTGATTGAATTCAGATATGGGTATATATATATATATATATATATATATATTCAATTTGAAATCCAACGGATATGTAAAACATATTTTCAAATTTGATTCACTGATATATCCGCATATCCAATTCAATCTGGTTTAGTTCGAAACTCGGTAAACCTGTATAAAACTAACATAATTCCATAAAATTAAATATAAGACAAAAACTATATATCATAAACAGTATGGCTGCAACTTGGACGGGTTCTGGTTGACCATTTGTCAAAATTTGAAAGGGCCTGGCCCGTATATGTGTAAACTCTTCAAGTCAAGTACGTTGGAAATTTATCAAATTTTCAATGGGCCCAAACCCTTACCTGAGCCCAATGTAGTTGAAATTCTTTAGCAACCTGACTTGCAACGTTAGTTAATAGACAAAAATAGGTTTATCTAAACCTGAATTCCCACTTAATCCTAAAGAAGCTTAAATTTAAATTATATACATGTATACAAATTATATCATTATATATCAGATCCTACATGATTGGAGGAAGCAATATCTGGTTTAATTCAATTAATAAAAATATCGCCTTTTCAGATCCTGATACTTTCCTATTATGGTTATATTGGATATCTGGATTCCAACCTAAACGATTCAATTCAAATTTGAGTTAGATTAAATCCTATCATTTTCAGTGTGGCCCTAGTTACTATGTACTTTTTGTCACCTTAAAATGTGTGGTATGAGAATAGTATATTAAACCATACGAGGACTCGCGTACTTGCACTTATCTATCTTTTTGCTCATTTGGATTCTGTGATTTGTATTTGTGAAATATTGCCACATGAGGATACTTTATTACACTGAATCAGGACTTACATATTTGCACTTTTTTTGCTTGTTTTCATTCTCGGTTTGTACCCTGGATTGCAGCCTGATGTTGTAGAGAAGCTTGTGGGATTGCGAGAGGGCATACCACGAAAGGATGCCAAAGAGGTAATAACAACTTTATCATCTGCAAATTTGCTCGGTAGAATGACTGCATTATCTCTCTATAATTCTATTGGACTAGTTAAGTGGACTTTTATGCCTTATGTGTTAATAGCGTCTTTTTAAGCTGCTGTATAAATTACAGGGTTGCGGTTAGTTGATTACAATTGACGTAATTAAGAGAGGGTCTTAAAGAATTTATGGTTTTCTGTTCCTTGAGAAGTTTAAGAGATGTTATATTATTGATTAAATTCAAAACTTATAATTATCTCATTAAGTATGAAGGTATTCTTAATTTGTCCTTGCTTCTTAAGAGGCAGTGAGGATTCCGAGGTTTACATTTGACTTATTGGTAACCTTATATGTGTAGGTTGTACAAGAGTGCAAGGAAATATATGAGAACTCACTTGTTGATGGAAACCCTCCAAAGGCAGGTTTTGTCTTCCCAAGGGTGAAGTCCCTTACTACTACTACTACTCTCAAAGGCTCTATATGGAGGAAGCTGACTTAGTGCATTGGAAATAAATGTGACATTTTTTTCTTGAGCCATAGGAAACACTACATAAACTCCCATTGGAAATCATGGTTTCATTTATTCATTTATTTTTTTCTTGATGTTTCAATTATATGCTGTTTGTCACATTCTACTTGGATAAATGTAGTACATTTTGTTTATATTGCATATAATATATTATAGTCCCTATGATGATGATGCTAACAGTTGAAACTGCCCAATAAGTCTGGAGCTAACTCTTAAGCTAAGGGTATTAGTGTATGACCTTAGATCCCTAAGACTGTAGTCGCAAGGCTTTGGGGGACACAATAAAAATTAAGGCTAAAAGACTTAAACCTCCCTTATGCTTTTCAATCATGGATACTGGTCCCTTGGACCAAGGTTTTTAAAATCTATCCGGACAATGAACTGGTTAGGGGCAAGGTTCAAAATATCGATATGCCTGGATATTGTTTTTTATAGTTTTTTTTTTTTTCAAAACTGGTTCAGGGGGCCGGTTTAAGGCTCTTCCACCCCCTGAACTGGTCAGAACCCCGATACACCCATTGTAGAGGTGTATCATGGAGGTCCCGGAATGATACGTATTAGCCGATACGGGCCAATATGTGTTGATACTTTGAACTTTGGTCAGGGGTCTAGTTTTCAGGTTGAATGGTCTAACCATTTGAACCGAACGGTCGGCCTGTTCTGCCAAAAAAATAAAAAAATTAAAAAGGTCAAAACTATTGAATGGTTCAACCGCCCGGGTTAGCAATTTGTTGACCAAATTAACGATTTTTGGAAAAAATCTGGTTTTCGGGAAAAACAGAAATGGTCACCTGACCGGTTCCCTGTTTTTCCAGTCCAACCATCTGATTCGGCCCAGTTTTGAAAACCATGAATTGGATTTTAACCTCCCCTCTCAGAGTTATGCTTAACAGAATCAATAAAATGTCTCTTTTATCCTTGTTGATTCTTCAAATTCTCAAAATAATAGGCCCCCATGGGGACCTCACATGAGTGGGAATGGTGCAACACGATTGGCATCTCTCGCATTTCTTGTGATCTCCTGGTGACCCTTTTTGGATGTAAATGTTGGTGGTTGCTTTTCGTGCTTAGTGGGGCCTTTGGGTGCTGCTTTTCTCGGCCATTCTACGTGTCATTGATGCGTCGTTGGTTTGGGGGGTGGTTGCCTGAAGGTGTATGCGATGCGCATGAGTGGTGTTTCGATGGCATGTGTTGATGGGCTCTGTATCTCTCGCATTTCTTGTTATCTCTTGGTGACCCTTTTCGGATGTAAATGTTGGTGGTTGCTTTCTGTGCTTAGTGGGGCCTTTGGGTGCTGCTTTTCTCGGCCATTCTACATGTCATTGATGCGTCGTTGGTTTGGGGGGTGGTTGCTTGAAGGTGTATGCGATGCGCATGAGTGGTGTTTCGATGGCATGTGTTGATGGGCTCTGTGCTTGTGATCGGAACCATTAACCTGCCCCTCTTCTTCAGTTTCGCCCAAGCTAGTTGTTGCTATCTGGGCGTGTGTTGATGGTTCTTGTGTTGCCTACCCAAAGAAATCCACCTATGAAACTTTGTTCTAGTGTCGGTGATTTTTTCATTGTATATTCATCATCTGTTAACATGCTTTGGTTGCCTATGCGTCGTCTTGTGTAAACCCATTGAATTCACGATGACCATCTTGCATAAATCTATGGGAATCAATGACAATGAGGTTTTATCATTTTAATCTTAAAACTTAGTTTCAGTCTCTGTTTAACACTTTTATGCAGCATTTCTTTTCATGGATCCATTTGTTCCCATATTAATCTTCACCTATGTGCGTATTTTCAAATTTTTTCTCCCCAAGACCTGCTTCACTGCCATCGATTTTGAAACCTTGAAATAGTGTAGTTAACGAAAGAAAAGAAATGCTTCCAGTAGAAGTACATTTAAACAAGTGTTTTAAAACTGAACGACCAATGGACCAGTCAGGGGTCCGGTTTCTAGGTTGAACGGTTCGACCGTTCAAACTGAATGAATGGCCCATTCTGACAAAAAAATAAAAAAATAAAAAATTGTTGAACCGTTGGATGGTTCGAATGATTCAAACACCTGTGTGAGCGGTTTACTGACCAAATCAACATTTTGGGGAAATAACAGTTCTGGGGTAAAATGGAACTGGTCACTAGACCGGTTCCTGGTTTTTCTGGTTTGACCATTTGGACCAAACAGACGGCCCATTCTGACCAAAAAAATAAAAAACCACCAAACCGTTGGACAGTTTGAATGTTTCAAACACCCGGATCAGCGGTTTACTGGCCAAATCAACAGTTTTTGGGGAAATAACAGTTTTGGAGTAAAATGGAACCAGTCACCTGACCGATTCCCGATTTTTCTGGTCCGACCGGTCCGGTTTTGAAAACCATGCATTTAAATGACAAAAACCTGGGGATGGGGATGGGAAGTTGGAACTATAAGGTGAAGGTCTGTCCTTCCCTTATGCTTAAAATCTGCCAACTTTCTTTGATGACGATAGCATGCCTCTATTAGCTGGAACTAGAGGTGGAGGTGATCATCAAAAACCAAAAAACAAACCGAATCAACTGATGAAATCAAACTGAATTCCAGCTAACCAAATTGGTGATTTGGTTTTTTGTTAACCTAGAAAAATTCGACTTGGTTATATGATACTGTAAGTAACTATATAGGTTAATGACTCCTTTTTCAGAGAAGAAATAGCATTGATGACACCATTTGCTTGATGTCACTAATCTCTCCAACTCTACCATCACCGGTTTCTCTCTCTGTTACAGGTAATTTTATTCTCTTCCTTTCCCCTGTTTCTTTCTAAAAATCCATTGTGTGCATTTTTTTTTTCTTTTTCTTCATTCTCTCAAAACTAGAGGTGGATTTGTTGTGGTGGTTCTATGTCAATTGAGAAGAAAATAGGGTAAATTACAAAGTCCCCCTGTAGTGACAAAGACCCCTATACTCTAATTTACAACAAAGACCCTTCTAAACTTTAGCCATTAGACAAAGACCCCTTTTGTTAGCGTTCTGTCAGTTAACTTTGAAAAAGATTCTCATCCGATTGTTTAAAGTTTTCTAAATGCCCAAATTACCCCTTTCTCATCCAATGTTGCATTGGCCCTATTACGTCTGTCTTTCATGATTGTTTCATTCAGGTAAAACTTTCTTGTTCTTTCTTTCAACCTTTGTTCTAGAAACAAGAGTAGAGTTTCGGATCTCCAACATCTCTCGATCGAAATGCAACGACATAGTCCATAGTCAAGCTGGTTGATGGTGCCATGATGGAATTCATAGACAAGCCTGACTCCGATGCCAGTGCAACAAGACCAGAGCTTCAAATCTTCGACGAACATTTGCTCCTTAGGCTGAGTTTGGGAGGAGTAGAAATGTAAATATGTAGAGTGCAAAACCTTATACTGCTTCCAAACTGAGCCTTAGGCTAAACATAATTTAGGAAGAAAAACGCATGTTGGAACAAGCCAGCCAAAAACAAGTTCTGAATTAATTTTTCATGGAAAAGCCATACACATTTAACTTAGATTATTGAACTGAAGCTGACTGATCATGTGACTATGACCACTTGAATACTTGATAAGGACTTCATGTGACTATGATTACTTGATCAGTCGATTCTATTGGCCTTCCCTGTCAAAATACCCGAATGGAATCTTGATGCAGGATCAGTAGAAGAAAAGAAAACATTGCTTCTCGTGTGGAAATTATGCTAATGAAGACGGTGGAAAGTAGAGAAAATCATGACAAAACAAGAAGAACAGAGAGAAAGATGAAAAGAAAGACATTTTCGATGAGGCCAAGAGATTGAGGTCAAGTGATCATGGCTAGCAATTGTGGTAGAGGAGATCTGTTGTCTCGGCTCACCCATTGATTCCCGGTGATTTCTGATTTGGTTGTAAGAAGGATCATTATCGATGGATTGATAATATTATTGGTAGATATAAACAAGAGTTTTTTGCCATTAGCGGATTTGCGTGATGCCAGTAATAATGCGGTTACTGAATCTTTGATGTCGGCTATGGTGTCATCAGTGGATCCTTAGGCCCTGTTTGATGATTAAATACTTGTTAAAAGTACTTTTTTCACAAGTACTTCTTAGAAGTACTTGTTTTAACAATCTTTTAGGCTGTTTGGTAACCCACATTTTCAAATCACTTATTATGTTTTTAAGTACTTATTGGGGTGGGAATGTTTGATAAGCTATTTTTCCCATAAGTGCTTATATTATTTAAATGACAATTTTACCCTCACTTCTCTCATACATATATACAATACTTTTCAATAATAATAATAATAATAATAATAATAATAATAATAATAATAATAATAATAATAGTAATAATAATATTAATAATAATAATAATAGTAATAATAATAATAATAATAATCATAATCATAATAATAATAATAATAATAATCATAATCATAATCATAATCATAATCATAATCATAATCATAATAATAATAATAATAAATAATCATAATAATAATATAAATAATGATTATAAATAATAATAATAATAATAATAATAATAATAATAATAATAATAATAATAATAATAATAATAATAATAATAATAAGACGATGAATAGAGGGAAGGTTGTCGCCGCTACAACTCCCCTATTCTCCCTTCGAGCGACAGAGAGCGTCAACAACCTCTCCTTAGTCTTTCTCTCCCTCTCTCTCTCTCTCCTTTTCTTCTTCTTCTCCTTTGTTTTTGTTCTTCTATAACCACTGAACCACGAACAAGACACTGTTCATCTTCCTCTTCAAAAGAGAACCAACGGCGGCTGAACGTCTCTCTTTCGGTTCTTTGACACCCGAACGGTGGCGGCAACTAGATCGAGCTCTGTTTCAAAGATCTGAGATCGAGCTATGAGCTCTGTTTCAGAGATCTGAGATCGAGCTACGAGCTCTGTTTCAGAGATCTGAGATCAAGCTACGAGCTATGTTTTAGAGATCTAACTTCAAAGCGTAGAGGAAAGAGGCCAAACAGCATGTCCACCGACCACGGTTCCCTACCGTCGATCGTCGCCGGTGGACCTGCAACTGATGCACCGTTGTTGCTAGGGTTTGAGGATTGAATGAGTGGAGAAGGGGGAGGTATAACCTCGTGGGGGTATTTTAGTCATTATACAAATTTTTTAGGGACTGGTTCGTCCCAATATTTTGGAGA